CAAACCCTCCTTCTAACAGGCCTGCTCTAAGCAGTGACAACGCACATCACCAGCCACATATCCGCTTAAGAAGAGCCCAAATGCAAGCGAATATCCAGAGCATCCCTCCCCTCTCCGCTCCCTGGGTGCCTGCCAAGTGCTACGGACCATTCCGAGGCCACCGCACCCTTCCCTGTGTCCTTCCTTCCTTCCTTCCTTCCTTCCTTCCTCCCTGGGTGGTTCGGACTCTCCAGCAGAGCATTCAAACATGAGCAGGTGTCTGACCTCCAAACGCTCTTCCATCTGCACTAGTGCCCCGTTCTGCACCCGGGCACCAACGCTGCCCCTCGGACACGGAGCCCCAGCGCAGGCAGGGAGCAGGGATGACTCATCCCAGCTGGCAGCGAGCACCAGCAGGGAACACCCGCTGTGTTGTGCTCCCCACCGACAGCCCTGAGCATCGTTCCCAGCGATCCTGGTCTCTCAGGCTGGAGCGACACCACGGCTGAGCCTTGATCCCCCTTCTCATCAGTACAGGAGGGTGAAAGGGGAAAAGGAACATGCCTGAATCAGCCAGAAACACCCTCCAACCAGGGCGGCCAGGCCCTGAGGAGGAGCAGCCACATACCTGGGAGTGAACAATCGTGTCCGTGTCGTCCAGATGGATGTTGTCGTCAATAAAAATGTGGTGAACGGTGGGATCGTGGGGGTCAATCCACAGGGGCTTCCCACCCTGTGCGGAATACTGATTTCTGGCCCACCTAAAACAGCAAGCAGGGCAGCAAACAGTCGGGGAAGGACATCCCAACAGCTTGTGGAGCCGGGCAAGTCTGTGCGAAGGAAAGTGGGACGAGAGACACAGCCTGGTCCCTCTGCCTACTGCTGTCTCCCACCAGAGAAGTATTTTGTGGCCAGATGCTGCACCAGAGGGTGCTTGGAGGAAAACAAGAGGGGCACGAGGGGATGGAGACCTGGGGGAAGAGCCTAGTGAGTCTCTCTGTGTTGAAATGGGGAGAGCAGAAGTTACAGGGCGGGATGCACAGAAGATATGACAAGGTGAAGACCTCAAAAGCAGGCGCTATCTCTCGGAGAACTGGAGGGGAGAAGAAGATGCCCAACTCACTCGCCCAGTAGCCCATTTCTCACCAGTCAAAGTGGTCTTGGAAGCCTCCAATTCCCTCGAAAGAGTTGAAGTAGTCATAGAGCTTTCTTCCATCTTCGCGGGTGGAAAGTCGCTCTGACCCCCGGCTCAGCACCACCTCTCGCTCACTGCAACGAATTTGGCCAGGAGTGAGGTCCACAGAGAGCTGCAGCATCATGGAAATAAGAGAAGAGGAAAGGTTTCCAAAGCAGACAGATTGTTTAGTGTGCTGTCAGAGACAACAAGCAGCAGGCTAGAGACTCCTCATGACAGTGTGGGAGGACAGCACTGGGGAAAACACAAAAAAATAAGGAATCCGTACAACACAAACGCTTCCCCTCTTCTGGGAAATGCAAAATGAGCATCCAGCCACTCGCTCACGCTGCTTAAAATTCTGTTCCCTGTGAGCTCTCTGGGGAGCAACCAGAGAGACCTCTCAGCCTTGGTGCTCCGGCGTCCTGCACACGCAGGAGACCCCGGCCGGGGGAGTCCTGCGGTGCCGCAAAACCCCCGCTCTGCGGGAAGAGGTGAGATCCCTGGAGAGGGGCAGATCCTCTGCACAAAACCCCCGCTCTGCGGGACGAGGTGGGATCCCTGAAGAGGGGCAGATCCTCCGCACAAAACCCCCGCTCTGCGGGAAGAGGTGGGATCCCTGGAGAGGGGCAGATCCTCCGCACAAAACCCCCGCTCTGCGGGAAGAGGTGGGATCCCTGGAGTGGGGCAGATCCTCCCCACACTGCCCACGCTGCTCGAGAGCGGAATCAGCGCAGAATTCCCAGCGCTTCCCTGTCAGCGGCTCTTCCACAGAGCCTGGACGCGTTTCTCCTGCGCAGAGGCCAGCGTGACGGGACGGCGGGCACGCAAAGGGCGCTGAGAGGAGCCGGGCGCTCCGAGCTCCACGCTGGGACCACTTGCAAGCGCCGAGGCCGATGCCACGCCGGTCGGCGCCGCACTCACCGGCAGCTGGCGCAGGCCGGGGAAGCGGGGGTGCTGGCCGGCCAGGGCGCAGCGCGCGGCGCGCAGCGCGCGCGGCAGGTCGGTGCCGAAGGTGCGGAAGAGCAGCGCGAAGCGGCGCCCGTCGCGGTGCAGCGCGTCGAGCAGGCGGAAGAAGGAGGGCAGCAGCACGTGGTAGTGCTGGCCGCCCTCGCCCGGCGCCGACAGCGCCGCGTGCGGCTCGCCCGGCCACTCGAGCAGCCGCAGGCAGCGCGCGTGGAGCCCGCGGAAGCGCCGGCCCGGGCCCAGCTCCGTGAAGGCGACGTCGCGGCCGAAGCGGCTGTAGTAGCTGAGCGCGCCGGGGCAGGGCGGGTGCAGCGAGGGCCGCTCGCTCGCCCACCGCCACTCGCCTGCAAGGGACGGCAAGGCGCTCAGCGGCC